TTGAAAGAATAAAGTCAGCTTTGCAGAGGAAGCGATCGAATATTATTAAGTCCAGCTACAAATCTACTGTCGGTTCGGTTTCACATTGTTGATAAACATTTGCACAGTTTAATCATTTAAACCTCCTTTCAAATTTCCGGAGGCTTTTTGTTATCGGATTGAAACTTAAAATGATTTGCTGGGCCATCTGAAATGTTTCAAGGACATGCGATGTACGGCACGTCGGTATTTAATTTTAGTTCATTATTTTTATACTGAACTCGGCCACGTTTCGAAAAAAATGGCGTTGTTTTTTTTCCTTTGTCGTTCGCTTTAGGCTTTGTAATTCGTTTTTGTTCTCATTGTTTTTGTTTGCTGGTTAGATTTTTTTCCAACACCAGATTTTCCAACAGAAGCGACTGCATTCTTCGTGTCAAGCTTTCCTAATCTCCTCGTGTAATCTGATCCTTTTAGTGGTGAGAATATTGCTTGCTGCACATGGAACACTTTTGCTGTTTTACAAACTTCTCTTCGTTAAAACTTAACATTATGGCCCCTAAAATTAATAGAATATATCAAGTGCTCATGTCTCTTGACTGCGGTGGCCAGGTTTGACGAAAAATTTAGGTAAATAAACACAGGAAGTCACGACGGCGGGAAGTGTGTGAAATTTTGTTTGTTATTCAACTTGAGCCCGTGCGCCTGGTACTGCCTTTGATTGGTTCACAACTGACCGCTTGGTCTCAGGGGAATCTACATTACATTAGGTTACACTTTTTTCAGCTCGATCGAGATTTTTTTCTGCCTATTGCCCAGTCTTGCGCGGTTTGTTCTGCTGCCGCCTCGCCATCCGAGCGTCTTCGCTCGGATGGCTCGTTGGCAATTACAGAAGGGGGGCCCATTTGACCCTCATTGGCCAATTTTAGAATCAACCCTGCTTCTGGTAGCATGACTCTGCCAAGGAATTGCGTTTGACGTTTTAGTTGCTGTATTTGTATCCTGTGCTTACAACCTTGCTGTGTTGTGTTTTGTAGGATGGTAATATCGTAATCAAGAACATTCAGTTTGAGGATGGCCCACTTGGACACAGAGAAGTCAGCATTAGATGGAAGGATCTAATATGTTATCAAAGACTAGAGGTGAGTATTTTAGTATTTTTATCATAGATTGCGTGTTTCAATATCTCTTGTAATTTTTAAGGTTAAACTTCATGAGTGCAGAATCTAATGCAAATGAGCGAGAACAATAAAATTTTCCTTCTAGTAAAAACCAAAAGTTACGGAATGGGGCGACAACGGTCGAAGGTCAAGACGCTTTTCCTTCAACGCTGTGCTTTTAGCGCAAGTTTCACCTGACAGATGGTTAAAAACACACGTGATCAGTTTATGAGTGATAGAAGGGCCAAACGTGCGTAATGAGCATTCCATTCATTCTAAGTCCAAACGAATGCAGGCTACATACATGCGATGCATGCGTAATAACAACCTGTATATTAGGATTGCGTACCCCTCTTATCGCCCGCAATTAGCGTCAATTTCGGCACTTGTCAGTGAAGTTCGACGTTTAGAACGGGCCTAAGAGAAATCATCACTTGCCCTAATTAGACATGGATAACTTGTCGACGAGGTTAATAAACTAATAAAATGATGTAATGAACAAGAAAGTTAAAGTCTCTTAACTAATTATATAAGGAATTGTATAGTTCAGTCTGGAGTATTTATATGTGGATGTACTCGACTACTTATCTCCTCCAATGACGCGGTTCATCTGAGGCGGACGGTAATGTTGTGTTTGTTGATGCTTCTCTCCCTCGTGGCTAATTCTTTATCGTCACGGTGTTGCTCCTTCTCTCTCTTGCTTCAAGAGAGCATGGTAGTTTTCCTCTCCTTAAAACCAACAATAGGACAATTGCCCGGTAACGTCATTTTACTACAATGTTGGTTTTCGCAGAGAGGGGAAATCGGAGTACCTGGAAAAAAACCCTTTTGAACAAGGAAATAACCAATATCAAACTCAACCCACTTATGGTCTCGCTTCTGGGACCCAGCAACATAAGTATAAGGCGGGTGGTCTTTTCTTGCCTTCCAGTTGCAGCTTACTTGGAAAAACTAAAGGCCCAGATTTTTGCAAGCGCCAACGACGCAAACCTATTTGTGAGAGCAAGTTGTCATCATTCAATTTGAGTTTTTGACCAGACCTAAATTTTTGGTACATTAATGTTTGGTTTTCAGGTTATTGCAGGCCCACCAGCGAAGCTCAAGATCCTAAAGTTTGATCATTCTGAGGTAGGTATGAAAAACGCGTGTCTTGGACCCAGTGTTTCAGTGTTCCATGTTCAAATTTTGAACACTGAGTTCAATCTATCATTGTGCGAGTCCCAAACCCATTGAAAGAGCGTCCTATTGACGCTTGAAGCTTGGAGCCGCACGTGACATTAGATTAAGAGGCATACGCGCATTTTAACCATGACCTCTTTGACTCTCCAACTCATAGATAACATCGCAACACTTTCACGCACAGCAAGGTTGGGTATGAAGTCTTTTTCTCTCCTCACTGAGTTAGGGAGCTTTCCATTTGTCAGAACTGACCGGCCAGGACATTCCCGTTGTAGTGAAAATCTTACTTTTTATCAAAGCTATCCAGCCAGATCAGTCAAATTCTAAATAGTATGCATCAAAAACTCTGCAAAAAGCCCATTTTATTTTCAAAATGACTGGTCCGGCCATGGTCCAGCCGGCCAGTTCTGACTTTTGAAAAGCACCCTAAGTTAGAGTGCACGTGGAGATTGCCTCGACCTCTTACCTACTGTAGTACAAAACAACATTGCTTGGAAAGCTTCCTATGTGTTATCAAGCCTGCTCTTGTACAAACTCGAGTGCATAATTTGATTTATTTTTACTTGTTTTACAGCCACTTTCAGTGTTTAACGATACCAAGATGCCATTTAACGATACCAAGATGCCATTTCCCCTTACTGTTCAACTGTGCGACAAGCTTGAAAACCCCTCCGATGAGCCTAATGTTAAGGTGGTCCTTAATACGGACAGAGGAATTAAGGTAGGAATCTAAACTTTTGTTATTCAATGAAAATTTGACCAAACCTTTAATAGTTTGGTCTCCCTTGAATAAATGCAGTTTCAGTAGCCTGCGTAGCAGGCGCTTGGAAGTAGTGGGCCCGAGAAAAAACGGGCGCGCGAGAAGGAGACACGCGTGCCTCCCTCGCGCGCGCCCGTTCTCTCTTTCGCCTACTACTTGCAAGCACCTGCTACGCAGGCTACAGTTTCAGTCGAACCTCCACTAATGACCACCTCTCCACAACGGCCCCTTTTTTAGTCCCAGCGGACAATCCGCACATTGACTTTTGTCTAAACCTCTCTACAACGGTAACGGCCACTAAAGCGTGTTCCCAAGTTCCAAAATAAGGGAGTTTAAGCAACGACGACGACGACGGCAACGAGAACGGCAAAAAGGCAATAGGTTAGATCAGCAAAACAACAACTTTTTACGTGCATCACGCTTTTTTGTACATTTCTCAGCCGTCGTTACACGACTACAACGTGAAAGTGTCTAATTTCACGTTTTGTCGAGGACGGGAACACAAGACAACAACTTTCCTTTTCTTTTCCTGAACTTTGATACAATCCTTCAGAATTCAACTCCAAAAAAAATTGCCCACATTTGACGAATTAAAGTGACGTTTTCATAGCCGTCGCCGTCGTTGTTGCTTAAGCTCCCTATTAGAGACCTTTAGTATCAGGTAAACCGCAAACCGCGGTTACGCGTTTGCAGTTTCGCGTTGCCGAGATTTCAAACTTTAGCAAGGCGTTAAGTTCAGTTCAGTTCATTTTTATTTAGCCAAAATACAATACAATACAAGAATACATATAGGAATTGTAAGGTTACAAGGGAGCCCAGAAGAAACCAGAAGGCTTTATGAAGCATGGGCTCCCCAGTCTAAAAGAGATAAGCAAAATAAAATGATATTCGTGGAGTGATACGTTAAAAATAGGAACCAAACAGAGACTGAGTTAAGTTATGAATTCAGAAACACGATAGAAAAAAAAATTAACTCTGGATTGGAACAGAATACTTTCCTTTGTTAGTACGGCAGAAAAGATTTGAACTTCGCGTTCATTGTTTAGGGCCGCCATGTCGTTTTCATCAAGTCGAAGTGCATCACTTTAATCGCCCAAAACTCAGCAATAATTCATTGATTCGAGATCAAAAATCCAACAAACACATCGCAAACGGATACAAAAAGCTAGTTCATACCTTTAAACGCGAGGCTGTACAATTTTTTGTGACAAAAAACCTTGCCGTAAATCACTTACCGCTGGAAGCCCTTCCTTCGGTTCAAACGTGAACTGCAAACTACAAACGTGCCCGCAGGGCCGTGGTCACGTGACATTTTGCGGTTTGCCGTTTGCCGTTTCCCACGAAAAACCTGATGCTAAAGGTCCCTATTACCTCTCGACAACGGCCAGTTTTTTCAGCAGCCGATGAAAAAGTCAAGAATGGTCATAAAGTTTGATACGAATGACCCGTTGGTGATTAATTGCGGCAATCGTATTTTGATTGTGATCCATTTATACTACTGCAGTAAGCATAAATTGTCTACGGTACTTGTAGCGAATGTTGCGAGCCCTGCTTGTTTTGTGACGTTAACATTCTAATTCAAATCAATATTCAAGATTTTTGTGTATTTTATCTCTATGTATTATATATGATTGGATTACCATTATGGAATACAATAAGAATGAACTTAGTAGCGCAATATACATGTTGTACTCCCTACCACACCGTAACGGCCCCTTTCTTCTGTCCCCAAGGTGGCCCTTGTGGAGAGGTTCGACTGTATTATGTAATCTGGTCTAATGAACTGTTTTTGCTGCCGCCTTTTTTTGGCGTTCTATCGATGGTACGTTGAGCACCTGACTATACAAATTTATATAGACCTGTGCAAAATGATGTTTTTCTTGGTAAGAATCTAATTGTGGGCATTTTTATAATTTTATTTTTTTCAGTTGACTCCAGCACCTGCTCAGCAGAAGACAGACAGCAAGGGTCAAGCAACGTTTGGTCAACCTACTGTGAGCGCAACCAAGTAGGTGGAATTTGAACATAAGTCTTCTTGTGCCCTTGTTCCTGCCTCTTACTTGATAGCTCTTACCTCAGCCCTTAACGAACGTTACTGAGTCAAACAAAAGCTTTCTTTACTTTGTACACCTTTTCTTAGTTCTGCTACTCAGTAGTTTTACTTCCCTCTTAACGGACGCCTCTGTTAGTGGGACACCTAGAGGTGGTCCCTGGCTTTCCTTAGTCATTTTGTTTGACTTCCTGTAAGATAGAGACCTTCCTAAAACAGAAACCTAGAGTTGGTCCCTGTCATTCTTTAGTCGGTTTCTTTGACTCTCTATAAGAGGAACACCTCCCTAAAACACTTAGAGTTTGCCCCTGTCGTTCTTTATTCATTTTCTTTGATTCTGTAGACGGACACCTCCCTAAAACGGACATCTAGAGTTGGTCCCTGCAATTCTTTAGTCGTTTTCTTTGATTCTGTATAAGACGGACACCTCCTTAAAATGGACACCTAGAGTCGGTTGCTACCATTCTTCATTCATTTTCTTTGACTCTCTTTAAGACGAACTCCTCCCTAAAAAGGGCACTAAATGCCGGCACACACTTGGTGCCGATCAAAAAAATACCCCTCGACTTTAAGAGCCCCAACCTTGGCATTTCTTAGGAACATCCTCTTCTTCAGTCATAATTTAAGTCTGTAAAATAACTTGGAGTAACGTGTGTTTAAAAATCAGGGGAATGTATGGAATAAGAATCAAAGCCCTGCTTGGAAGAACTGCATTGGATGCGCCTACCATAAGCGTGAGGTAAGTTCTGTGAAGCAGGTTAACACACATTTCACAACAACTCAGTAATTTGGTCGAGAGCTCTGATTTATGAGAGTTTAGACCTCCGAAATGGCGTCAACACGTGTAAAGCTTTAGTGGTACTGCGAACTGCACTCCAGTTGTTTCACTGCAGCGTATTAAAGATTTTCACGTTATCTCTGTGGTCTGTAAGAGTAGGGTCAATGGAAAATTGTTGTTCGTTCGCCAAAATATTCAATATTTTGTATCAAATAGAGATGTTGAACGTCGCATTTAAAGCAAAAGGAAACGGTAGAGATCAAATCGGCTACTGAATTCACTTTTGCCGTTTTGGAGATAGCTAGTACATCGCTTGGGAATGAATATGTTACATAAGTTAGTGCGAGCGTTCGAAGAAGTCGCACGGGTTTAATTTACCTGCGATCGCTGTTCTCATTTTTATGCTTTTGATACTGTAATTTCCTGTGGTACCTACCCGCCTCGACTAGCTGTAGCTATTTCCGGGTAGTTATAATAATACAGTTGTAATAAAGTCGTCGTTGTTGTTATATGTTTTGCATTTCAGAGTGGAGCCTGACCCATCAAAGGCTGTAAATCTTAACGTCACGTTTGATTCTAATGCACCGTGTGTCGTTGGAGAGTTGTTACCAAGTAAGTGAGACCATTAGATTGACAGTAGTCTGGTAGGACTGTTGCGCGGGCAAGTGTATCCCAAGCAAGCAAACGGGTTTCCAGTTTTGCCGTCAAAACGTGCGCTTTCCATAGGCTGGATTTCTGCCGCTATCACGGGTCCGGTCGAGGTCGCAAGCTCATTAGGGAGCTTAAGCAACGACGACGGCGACGTCAACGAGAACGGCTAAAAACGATAGGTTTAGATTGGCAAAACAACAACCTTGCGCTTATATCACGTTTTTTTTGTACATTGCTTTGCCGTCGTTGCACGAGTACGACGTGAAACTTCCTAATTTTACGTGAACACAAGACACCGATTTTCCTTTTTTTTTTCGTGAACTCAGACACACTCCTTTAGAATTCAACTCCTTAAAAAAATAGCCATCATTTGACAAATTAAAAGAGTTGGGATAAGAGCAATGAAGTTTGAAACAGCGCGAATTCACTTTTTGGGTGACGTTTTCTCCATCGTTGCCGTCGTCGTTGCTTAAGCTCCCTAGTTACCGAACAGCGACTGATAATCGAGTCTAGACTACGAGTAGTCCCCATTTTTCCTCAGGGATAGTAGAGCGAGCGAAACGCGAGCGCGCGTGAAAATCACCCCACGCGAGAGAGGCGAGACGGGGCTACTGACGGGTTAAGACTGCATTGCAGGTCAAATACTTTGTCTAGTGACTCTGCATTTTAACCATTTAATCCCCAAGAGTGACCAAGATCCATTTTGTCTTAATAATATCAACACATAATCAAGAGAAACGGTTATGAGAATTTATATAATGATCAACTAGGGGAAAATGCTTTGATTTTTTCTCCACTTGCAGCAGCATCTGACTGATATTAGCTATAGGGAAATCTCATCCAAAACGGAAAGTGATTTGCAAGGACTTGTTCGATTAGCACCCTCTGGGATTTCAGACCTACAGGGTGGCAATTCTCCCAACTAAGTCTTAAGGCAAATGTATGGAGATCAGTCTGGAGAATTTGTGGGTGGATATCGAGGTTTAATAAAATTGGCTATGTCTTTCTAAGCATTGCGCTCAGCATTGTGTGACCAAATTCCAGGTGTTTGGAGATCTATAGGATTTTACTTTAACCTGAATCTGAGTTGTACCATACAAATTCAACTTTAAAGCAGTTTAGCCACGTAAGGACATTGATATATTGAACACTTTTACCTGAAAATTTGATTGACTCATTGCTTGGGTGGGTGTTAGCATAAGAGGTTCAGGTTGGGGGATGTTTTGTCCCCCAAACAAACCTACTGTCCTGCGTTTCAGCTGTTTCAGCCCATGTAGTTGGAGAGGACGAAGCTGTAATGAAAGCAGCAAGTGCTAAGGACATAGTGTTGAAGATATGGCACTCTAAGGACGGTCCAGTATCAGACAAGCCGCCAGCCAGGGTATGTTATACTAGCCTGTTTTCTTCCACATCACATAGTAACTGGGTTTCACAATACATACACTGTAAGTGTCAAGATTCTTAGGCACTAACTAGCCGAGAGCCATTGTCCAGGGCTGTCACCAAGATTTCAAGTTGACGTTATATGCACTCAGTAGGCGGGTAATTGAACTTCAAGGAAATCGCTATGTCCTAGTTTCCTTTTGTTTCGTATGGGAAGTGCCGGATCCAGATAGAGATGGGGGGGGGGGGGGGGGGTGGTCATCCAGACCCTTAGATAAGAGGGGGGGCGGTCTCCCAAAATGTTTTTTTCGGTCCTTCGGGCCTCAGTTTGGTCCAAAAATATGGGAAGGGCGGAGGGTGGGGGTTGGGGGGTGGTCGGGCCCCCGGGTCCCTCCCCTGGATCCACCACTGCCGGGGATAATGTTTATAGTATCCGGAGAAAATCCCCTGCACTTTCCTCTTAGCATATCCACATCAGAAGGGATTGGTTACGATTCAGAAGTGGTAAAATGACTGGCCTATTGTTGATAACCTAAACTGTTATCGTACTGAGGTCACAACGGTGTAGCATAATGCCGCTATTAATTGAAACCACCAAGGCTTAACATTTTACTTATATTGTAATTTTGTTAAGGCCACAACGTTGTACCCATCAAAGCGGAAGTTAACGGATAAAGATGGAGAATTCTACTTCAGGTAATAATAATAAGAAGAATACGAATAAATATGATAATATAATATGTATATTGCGCATATACAATGGAATGCGCATTACAAACGGTGAAATAAAAATAAGTCGATTAAAAGCTATCTTAAAAAAGTACGTTTTGAGGGCTGTCTTAAAAGATGTAAGGCTCTGAATGTTTCTTATCTACGCCGAAAGACTGTTTCACAGTTTGGGAGCTGCCGACTGAAAGGCTCGGTCGCCAAGTCAGTTGGTAGACACAGTGCGTTGGCCGGTACCAACAAAGTCGCATTCTTGAACCTAAGGGTGCTTTCCATTTGTTAGAACTGACCGGCCAGACCATTCCCGTCGTAATGACAATTTCACTTTTAATCAAAAATATCCAGCTAGATATAGTTTGCACGAAGGAGATGGTTTTTCAGCAAAAACTCTTGAAAAAAGCTTATTGCTTTGTCAAAATGACTGGTCCGGCCATGGTCCAGCCGGTCGGTTCTGACTTTTGGAAAGCGCCCTAAGATTATTTATATCTTGACTGGGCAGCGACCGCAATAATATCAACTGAAGTGTGGTTGATTGAGTAGTTTTCAAAGGAAGCAATGCAATTTTTTTTCGTGAATTCTCTTATAACCATATATTGTAAACTGCACTCACTAGGGACCTCAAAGTACCAGATATGTCAGGTGGCTATTGTATGGTAGTGCAGTTTGGATCTGCAGGAGCAGCCACACTCTCTAGTAAACCGGTGAGAGCATTGTTTGTTTTACGTGGAGTCTTCATTACTAGTTACTTCTTGCACAAACCCTTATTCTATTAGTAATAACATTACTTTGAAGAGAACTTGAATTTTTATTTGTAAATTTCTATTTGTTGTCTGCAACGTTAGGAAGAGCTACCTTCAGCGAAACACACCGAATACCACCTTGTGGTCTTTTTGTTGTCTGCAACGTAAGGAAGAGCTAACTTGAGCACAACACACCAAATACCAATCTGGCATCAGCTTACGACAGTCGTTTCCGATTAGTACAGTAGCTCTTCCAGACCTCTATTTTGATTGGCCCTAATAATCAGTAGCTTCTTTTGTTTTAGAGCTAGGGGTATTGTTTGTGTTGAATCATCTGTTGTTTCGTTCTGCAATCACAGACCATGTCTGAAAAGCTACTGACCTTCTTCCCTTCCATTGCACCTTAAACCTGTTCACTTACGAAGAAGCACTTCCGTTTAGCGGCATATTTTACAGAAGATTCATTTCATTTTTGTACAAGTTAATCAGTTTTATTACCTGTAAAAGAATATGTGGAGGAGAGTTGTGTTTAGAAATGCATACTACCCAGCGTTCGAAGAGTTCGTTGGCCTCGTCAGCTAAATACCTTCCCAATTCTTAATGATAGTGAGAGCCAACTATGTTCGTTAACATAGAGTTTCACTTACTCCCTCTTGCAGATCACATTCACAGCAAAGGCTGGTCTCCCTGTGAAGCTTGAACCGGAGACGATGCCTGCGACTCCTACTGTTTCCAACACTCAAAGGACCAACAGCCGAACCCTGGTGAAGACACTCAAGTTACAACTTAAGGTACTAATATTTACTGTTTTTGGTTGTGTTCTCTCCTCATTGTAATGCAAAAATGGTCCCACATCTTCTGTTACCAGTTACCAGGTCTTTGCGACGTCGTGCGTATAATTGTAGGCCAGCGTTGGTGAGCATTAACTCTGTAGAGAAACTGGTTTGTGTAAACTTTGGGAAAAGAGTTGCAGAGTTGGTTGCCTGCAAAGATTTCGTCCGTAGTTTACTAGTCATGATTTCAGCAGCAATGCTACTTTGAAGATGAGTAGCAAATCGCTGAAAATGAGCAAAAGAAAAGAAAAAAATGAACAACAAAAAGATGAGTCCATTGACGGCGTCAGTGAAGCGTATCACGAAGGCGATGACGATTATGTCACCAAGAAGGACGTTTACAAAGTGATGAAAGTGCAAGAGTCGATGTCTCGTAATTTGTTTGAATCCATGTTGACCAGTGTTAACAATAGAAGTGATGGTGTGATCAAAGACCTGACAGAATTGAAATCAAGTATTCGTATCACCACAATCTTCTGTCTAGTAGCTTTCGCAACCTCTTTTTAAGTAATAGTCAGGTTCACCATTGTGAAACTCAACTAGCCTTTCAGCATAGACCTCATTTCTGTAGAACTAATATCAAGCAGTTCAGTATCCTTTATCGAGGACCAACAATCTGGAATTCGTTGCCAATTTCACTAACCAGCTCTTCTTCCATATTTCCATATAAGTTTTTTGTTGGTTTGTTTGTTTATGTTTTGGATTTAACATAACGAACGTAGGGCATTTTTCTCTTTTCTGATCTGAAACCAACTAATGTTGCAGCTCTCGTTAGTTGCTGATCTCTAAACAACGTTAAAAAACCCTCAGCATGCATAATTAAAGGTCCATTTCAATATTCAAGATTGCTTGATACACATTTGTTGAAGAACAGCTCAAACATTTGTTGATCAGCAAAGTGGCCTTAGGCAGCCTTGAGACAAGATTGCTCACTCTGCTGTTTGTTTTAGGACAAATTTGATAACCTGACTGGTGAGAATCTGAAAGGAAAGGTGGTTGTCAAGGTAACAACACCATCAGAAGGCATTGACGAGATCCCTGCTCTGACTGGAAATGTGTACTCCTTGGAGGTACCCCTGGTCAAGGGCGTGGCCACTGTACAGAACCTCCTTATTCAAGAGAACACTGCAGGCAAAGACGGACAGGAATACCTGCTGAACTTTCACACTCAGATTCCTCCTAATTCTTCGCCTCATCCTATTCCCGTGTTTACATTGGCATTCTTGTTTTACAATGGCAAGTACCCTTCGGTTTCATGTAGTGCTGACTTTCTTCTTCATGATTAAGGGCCTGTTTACATTGAGGCGGGGGACCCCAGGTAGGTGAGGTAACCTGCTTAGGTGGGGTAACCCGCCTGTCCATATAATCTCTCATTTTAATTTGATCACGTTTACATGATAAGTGGGGTGACCCGCCGCATGTTACCTCACCTATCTGGGATCTCCCACCTCCATGTAAACAGGCCTTAACTTAAAGGATGTCCGATAATGTGCTTGTTCGTTGTGTGACTTTTTTTGTTTTAAAATAGCAAATACACTGCGGTTTTCTGTGGTGCTAATTTTCCCATCCCTTATAAATATTAACATAAAATAACAAGTGCCCGTTCTTTCTGCGCAGGCTTGTCACTAAGATTTCAAGTTACCGGGTAAATACAACAAGTAGGCGGGAAATCAAACAGCTAGGGATTTCGTTTGGTTCTATTTTTCTTCTCTTTTCCAATGAAAGTAGCTGGGGGCCACATTCATAGCAGCTGGGGGAAATCCCCGGCCCCTGGCTCTTAGTGGCAGCCCAGCTGCGACCTGGTTTTGTTTACAGTGGCAGGTACACTTCGGTTTCCTGTAAAAAAAAAACTATTAAATTCCTATTTCCCTCTTCTTGATTAACTTTAAAAAAACTTCTTTTTGTTTGTTCAACCTTTTGTTTTAGAATGGCAAGTACACTTCGGTTCTTATAAAGAAGTGTCTAATTTCCACTCATTGATTAACGTATCTGCTTATTCGTCGTTTGACCTCTCTAAATCACTTCCTTTTACTTGCTTTCCACCTTGTTAGGTATTTTGTTAACTAACACAACATATTTCATAAACAGTACTATACTTTTTTGCTTTTAGATGTGAGGAAACAGCAACAGATGGCTCAGCTGACAAAAGAAAGAGATCACTTATTTGAGACGATACGCACCTACCGGCTTCTTTTTGAAACTACGCGACAACTCATTAACGAGATGCAAGGTTGGTGGCTTATTTTTGGTTCTTTGCAGTCGACCACATTAACATTCGCCCACAGAGGGAGTGAGACGCAATAATTTTGTCTTATCCTTAAAGTCTCGAGAGTAACTAACATCAATTTTCTCCTAACAATATCCATGCACAATCAAAAGAAAAGGTTATGAGAAATAATAAAATGATCATCAAAATGAAAATGCTTTGATTTTTATCAAATTCTCTCAACTAATTCTGTAAGGAAATATATGGAGATCTGTAGAGAGAATTCTTATGTGGATATTGGGACTTAAAAGATTACTCATTAAGTCAATGTTCCTCCATAAAAAGATTCAAAAGCTGACGCATTAAGTGCTAGCCCGTCATCAGAGCGAATTGAAACTTGATAACACCAGCTTTTTTTAAAGATTTGAACAACCAATTTTATAATTGAACCATAACCTTTATTTTTGTACTTTACAGTGTCAGTGCATGAAGCTTCTTTACAAGAACAGAAGCTGAGAGGAGAACTCAGAAAACAAAACATCCCTGCAAGCAGCTTAGCATCGGTAAGGAGTAATCCTGGTACAGGATCGAGCCACCCTAAGGGAGTAGTTAGAGTACCAAGCTCAAGTCCAGAGGTCGCTGTTTTCGGTTTAACCAGAGGTCCCCTCTTTTCCACAGAGGCCTAGCGGAGAGTAGAACACAGGGGAGAAAACGTACGTGGTGTATGCTGGGAAGGGGAAGAGAGGAAGCGAGGTTTCCGCCATTTTTCTTTCCTTCGTTCACACGACAGCACTTTCGAGTTATAAAAGAAGTTATGTTCTTGTCGTCGGAGCTTCTGTTAGGGAAATATGAGGTGCATATGTAGCCACACGGCACTGGCTGGTTTTGATTAAAGTTGGATCTGAGTTCAACTCCTTGGCCATGCCTGTTGGTGCCTCTGAAGCTTTTACGTTTACTTTCGTTTTCTTATTTAGACGAAGTGCTAGAAAGTTGTGGATGATGCCTCATTTTGTTACCGTGCATACGTCACACGTTTTGCATATTACCGGAAGGTCTCATTTTGTAAAAATCAATTCGCACCATAGATTAGTATTGTTAAATATCCGTTTCATTTGAATGGTCACATCATAGCTCTGGGAGTGAAAGAGTTAATCACTAGAGAGCTTTAGATTTGAGGAGGAGAACGAGTATGAGTATGAGATTTAACATAAAGTTTCAGAATCTAAGCCCTCTACTGCTTGTTTGTTCTTAGCCATCAGCTGTGACTACATTGATAGATGAAATGTCAAAAAAGAGAGATCAGATCGCTATTACTCCTCGCCGACAGTGTCTACTTCACCCTGGACCCCGTGGAGACTCTGGTATTCTGGGAAAGGTTTGTTCAGTTTACTTTTCGATGAGTTCACACTATGCTTTAGTCTGACAATTTTTTTCCCTTTTTCTAAAGCCATAGCAAAGAGTGATTTATAATAACCGTTATGCATGTTTACGTCAGACGAGTATATTTCACCACCCAGCCTCGTTTTGAAGTTGAAAAGTTGCCAAGTTGTGCATAAATGAATTCCCAGGGCAGAAAAGTTGAAAAGAATATTCACGCCCAAAGGGTGCAAATGCAAACAGTTTTGTTTACAAACGAGGTTTGGTGAAATTTGCTCGACTGACGTAATTATGCAACTTCAAATCTTAGTGACAGCCCTGACCTCGGTAATGAAGACACTTGGCTCTACCTCGTCGGTATACTTTTTGTTGCGTGTTAGCGCTAACGCTGTTCTCTGTTCCCCCCTGCAGGTAGCTCATTTAGCTCAAGTGGTAGATGACGACGTTGCGCGAGTACTGTCGTGGCACATGGCATCCGATATGGACTGTGTCGTTACTCTCACGACAGAAAAGGTTTGTTCTTAGACTTTCAAAAAAGTCCTTTTTTCCGATTTAATATGGCGCGGGACGAAGTTCGACCTCTCGCGACTTCGTCGTACGCTTGGTCGCTTGCTAAGACACTCGTGCTGTCGACTTGTAGCAAGTCTACTTCGTGTTTTGCCTGCCGTGCTTTTCGCTCATCAAAAACTCTCTCTCCTTTTGGGTAGCTAGTATGTACGTAAGTTATGCTGTTCCGCTCTATCCTATTCTACTGGACCTGTCGTTTTGTGCTCTGTAGGGTGTATTTTTTATTGCTGACAAGCGTTTGCGAGGTAGCAATACTATTGTTTGTGTAGCGAAAAAATTCAATTTTGTAGTATTCTTTGTGTAGCGGCAAATTCAATTTGTGTCGAATGTAAGATCACCCGCAAACACACTTGGTCATGACTATCTTAGAGGTCTTCTTATATGACGTAGTATATCCGCACAGCGCTCGATTGAATGTTCAAGTTCCTGACAAACGGACAATCTTGCCTGTTTAAACTGTCGAATTCTTTTTCTTTTCCTCCGGTATTAATAAAATCAATCGAGTTAAAGGCTTCCGTGTTACCTCAGGAATGAACCGTAACTTAAGTATTTGCCTTACTGGTCGAAAGCACACTGATTTCATGAGCGAATGTTTTACATCAACGGGCAAAGTCAACGACTAATATTTTGGCACAAAACTGTAAATTCCTCTGCTGCTTATTTCCTGGTAATAATTATTACTGTCTCACTTCCATGACCTCCACACAATCCTTTTGTAGCTCTCTAAAAAATAACCAGTAACATTTATCTAGTTTTTTTTGTCACTTTTGAATAACACGGGTGACTGTTTATTTTCAGGCAAAACAAGTGTATCGCGACTCTAATGGCCAGCAACAAGTGCTACCCTTGGATTCTATCTTCAGACGTAGTTTACCAGAATGGAATAGGTACAGACCAAATTAAACCCAGTTATCATAGACGCTGTGTCTCTCAGGAGTTTTCAAACCCAAACTTAACAATTTTACACCATAAATCCTCTATTTAGACCCCCCCCCCTCTCAAATAAGCCCCCTCTCACTAATAGGCCTCTCCTTTTCAGAGAAAGAAAGTTAATAAGCCCCCTTCTCTTTAAGCCTCCATCCCCTCCCCTCCGCTTATTATTCTTCATTATTTTAATGATAGACTGTATTAATCAGTCACGACAGTAAAACATGGTGTGGACTGATCCAGGACGGTTTATTTACCAACTAGAAGTTCGGAATTGTTATTGATTTTCGGCTGCATGACTCCAACGTCTTGTACTGGAACTTTTCCTCTTTGTATTCTAGTTCTTTATGGTGATCTGATACCATCGTTTCTTCTTAATTAGATAACCCCCCCTCTCTAACCCCTCCCCCACCTCAAATGGGCTTGAAATAAATAAGCCGCCCAAGGGGCTTTAATTGAGGATTTACGGTAAGTTGGTTTTTTTTAACCCAAAGAAAATTCAGGGAGTGCTCAAGTAGTGCCGATCAAGTTTATAAAATTTCCTGCCCGGTTTTATGAGTTACTCTACTACATTAAAATGTACTATACTATTATCTGCAGGTTTAACCTGGCTTACACTCTCATTCATTCGCGTAGTCAGTTGTGATGTCATATAATGGTGATCTATCTTTTGAATCTGTAGACGAATTCATATAGAACCCTCTATTTCGGTAGGACCCTATGCGTGATTTTTCTTTCCTGAATTTGTGAAAATTAGGCTATTAACCCCCAGTGCATTAGAAAAAGTTAGCAATGCTTGCAGACATGTCAGCAGTGGCCTGTGAATATGCTAGTGAGCACGCTCAAGAATTTTCCAGTGGCCTCAGAGTTTTAAGCCTTTAGCGTAGCTTAGCAATGAGTAGCCATTAATACTGACTGTTAATTTTAGAGCTCTTCCACATATACGAGGTCAGGGCAGTTACAATCCGTCTGGTAACCCTGTGTACGCAAGAGATATGTTGATGTTTCCAACAGAGGCGGAAAATTGCAAGCTAGGTAATACGAATGTGTATGCAAGAGTACTTATTGTAGGGCCTGTGCGACAATAGACCATTAGATAATCATTAGCCTGCTCTATGTTCTCTAGTTTAAAAACAACTGTTGGGCCAACGCTCGAGAGGCGCCGGCGGAATCTCATGCGCGAGTGGCAAGCAGATTGGCTCATTCGATAAGTTCTTGAATGGAGAATTTCTCTAAGGTCAAGGTAATTTGCTTGAAAGAAAGCAGTGCTGAGGGACGTTGAATAGAAATGAATTTTCTGTTTAGGAAGGTGAACGTTTCGCTTACCCGTTGTCACAGAGATACCCATTGGTGGAGCTCCGTGATTAGTTGCAACAAGCTAGCGTAAACGGCAAGAATCAGTTACATGCTCCCCCCCTCCCCCAAATTAGCCGGACGACAGTTTCTCCAAACAGGCAGCTAAACATTGGCTACTATAGGGTACAAATACGTTAAACCCAGGAAACAGTCCCCCTTAATGCACAACATCCACTTCCCGTTTGTTGACATTTCCAGTGATTCCACGCTCAGAGGTAGAAATAACTTTGTCAAGATACATTGTTATGGGTTTAGGAACTACCACTCTTATGCTCCGTGAACATCTACCAATGCTTGTTGGGTATCAGAGGTCTTTTTATTTTCCTCGCGTGCGGCGGGGTGCTTCGATGTCGGTAACAGACCGAAGCCGCGAGTCACTTTCACCAGAAATTACACTAGAAACGTCTTTGCTGTCCGGGGTATACAAAGTTCTTCGTGACTGTCAAAAATTTTCCTCAAACTCAATAACAAATAAATGTATCGAGAAAACAGGCAAATTCTATACCATGAATTGCGACACCTAAATCAAACACTCGAAAGAGTTTTTCATTTGGGATCCAAATAACCTTGACGTCACTATGCCCCATTTTTCAACTCACTTCTCGTTTTCTGCCCTAGGGGGTACTCCCTATAATGGCCTATACGGAGAGACTCCGCCCGAAAGGGGTACCTTTTTCAGACTTCAGGTATATGGAAGGGTTGGGATTTTACCAGTTGAATTATATGAAAGTGGTGAGAAATCTGTCATTTGGGCCTGTGAAAGGGCTCAAAGGGCTGAGCAGATGAATTTCAGTGTTATGGCTTTATAAAGTCGGGAAAACGTTCTATTTTTTGATTGATTCCTACTTAAAGGACAATGCATTTGCAGCAGTTAAAAAGGGGTACCTTTTTCGTGAAAAATGGTATATAAAAGGGTAGGGGGTTGGACCTCGGGGCGTAGCCTCCCCGTATAAAAATTTGTTGAGTATGCTCCCGAGATTTTCTGCATGTTTTTTGAAACTTTCCTCGGGTTTGATTCATTGCTTGTCTCATTGCAGTGTTCGGTATGTTACTGGGTGATACACTGATCCTAGATGACCTGGACTGTGCAAATAAATACAGACAACAGGTGAGTATACTTGTTGATGATGCATTTCAAGGTGATGTTACATCGGACGATTCGCAGCAACGATTTTTAGCGCTAGACAGCGTTGCAACATTGTTGTGACATTGATTCAAATGGTTGCAACGTTGTTCCAACATTGCCGGCAATGCTGTGCCACGGCTGGCTATTTCATGTTGTTAATATTGCCAATTAAGCTTCCTTGTGCGCGATGAAACTAAACGTAAGAGGAAAAATTTTCTTGTAAACGACAAAATCACAGCTTCTCGTCAAATAAATGTCTCTCAAGCATTATATGAAACGTTAAATACGAGCAAAATGAACTTTGGAAACTGTTAGGCTAACAAGTTTTCAAAACTCGGCAATTGCAATCCGTTTTAGTCTTCCTCAGCTGAGTTTGTCCGCCCCTGCCTCTTTTTGTATTTGCTGTGCTATTAATGCTTTGTTTAAATGTTTTGAGCGGTTACGGTATTTTTATGTTTCACTCAATTTGGTGGCGGTTTCTACTGTTAGAATTTTGATACGTAATTCATGACTCAGCTCCTTTAACATCAATGTACTAGTGACGACGTGACATTTTTACATTTAGCCTATTCAAAACAGGACTGGCGGGATTGTTATGCCCTATTCAAAACCGGAGAGGCTCGGAGAGGGTTGAATCCACACCAGGCTCCAGGCTACCGTCCAGTGGATAACTCAATTGGTTTCCCTTATACCTATTCGCTAGACAGAGATTTATTTATCCAGTAGATAGCGCTGTCCAACGTTTGAACGACGATGGGGCGGGTTTTTCGAGCCTTTAAGCTAATTGCAAAATTACAGACATAGCTGTGGCTTTGAGATAAAGCCACTAACAGACGACTGCAATGCAATAAAGAAAACTATTGATTTACGCCTGACTATAGTGAACTTAACCAAGGACGTTTTAGAGCGACACGCACCAACCAGAAGTGGCTGTTTTGCATCATTGGTCAGCAGGTTTTTCCCAAATTAAATTTCTGGCAATTCGTCTCAGTAAGAGTAAAGATACCGTATTTATTCGATTAACCTGCCCTGGGCGCTTAGTAAATTTTCACCATTTTCAGCAAGTCAAGTATGTTTAGTTTGCAACAAACAATAAATGGTAATAACAAAACGCGAAGATGTAACAAAGTAAGGTCTCTGTAAAATGCTCTGAAGAAAACTTCGTCTTCGGGGAAGTCTCTTATTAGTACTTATTCAATTTCAATTTCAATCTCATTGTCACTCAAGTCAATAAGTGAATTCTCTGGTGCTGCCTCCTCGATGTCCGACATCGGGGAGTGGAGTGGGGGTGGGCGCTAATTTGAGGTTGGGCGCTTATTCGAATAAATACGGACTTAACAAGGCACATTTGTTAGCGTCAAGGTAATGAGAAAAGGCTTCACTTCCGGTTGACGTGTTACGTCCAGAAATGTCTTTGCTTAACCTCCCTTGTGTATTGTTATGATGTAGGTTGTAAAGCACACTCATTGTCCTACGATTCTTACAAGAGGAGGAGATCGCATCAGAAGTAACGGTAAGTTATTTAGCCCATTAACCTTTAAGTGACTAGTGTTTAAGATTTCTCCTTATTCTTACACTGTTCAGTCAAACATAAATATCGATAACATGCTGAGCTGGCAGGTCGCGCAATATCACGTGATCATGGAATGACGCAATGGTGAGGTAGAATTTCTCCTTATTCTTACACTGTTCAGTCAAACATAAATACCGTGAGAAAAAGCACATGATCAGCAAGTGAAAAAGGTCTTGATTACGCAGGATATGCGTGGAGAACGTTGTGGAGAATGTTTGTATTAATTTTAGGGTTTAAAGGGTCGCACCAATCCCCGTGATACTGTTTCTTCTAGTGAGAATTTTAATCTCGATTGTTTTGCTCTCTTGCAAAGGTAAATTCGGCGGACTGCAGAACAAAGCTCCTCCTCTTGAGAGAATGCGCGGCGCAGTGTTCGCTGCGCCTCTTCCGCTGACATTCCATTCACTGACAACGCAGATTGGTGAGTGACAACTAAAGCTCTTCTCATTTTTCACCGCCAATGTATAACTCCAACATTGCTGCTAATGTTTTTCTTTATTCATTATGTTGTCAGAACAACTACAAGCTTTTAAACAAGCCGTTATCAAACACACACAAGCCAAGGAAGAACTTTCGGTAAGCTTAAAGAAGCGCATCGCATTGGTTTTTTTTCCTTTCGTACACAAATCCACCCTGCTGTCAGTCTTCTTTTCTTGAGAGCGGATGAGAAGGGGAAGTTCTGCCTGAATCGCGTCGAGTCTTGTTTTAACCCTTTAAGTCCCAAAAGTGACCAACGTCATTTTTCTCCTAACAATATCCGTATATTGTCATAAGATGAGGTTATGAGAATTAATAAAATGATCGCCAAAGAAAAATGCCTTGATCATTTATTGAATTCTCTCAACTTATTCTTAAAGGAAATGTATGGAGATCACTTTGGAGAATTTGTATGTGTATATTAATTGGGGCTTAGAGGGTTAAGGCCACTTTCCTTCTTATCGTATAGGTGAGCGCGACCCCATAACTTAAAGATTTGAATCCGTTTTCACTACTTTTCTGTTCAGATCAGCTCGCCAGTTTATTTTCAAAACAAATCGTTGGTAACGGTTAGCTGATTTTGATTTTAGCTGAATTTGATCTTGGAGCATTTGAAGGGAACACTTTCTCTATCTCCTTTCTCTAACAGCTGCAGCTACAGCACGGACAAACGGAGGAGATGAAAATTAAACACCGGGAATGCAGAGAGGCTGAAACCCAGTTACGCATGATTGAGGAGCGTTTGGGCATGACTCCGACCCAGTACAATATGCCTCCCAGTCCGGCCACTATGCTGCTGACAGAAATCAACACTCCACCTACAAGAACAGCTACCTCGCGTCGCTCCAGCGCACGAGCTGCGGCTGCGGCTACCGCTTCTCCGACCTTATCGACTCCGGTCGTAAATGGTTCGAGCAACGCATCGGGAAACACAACTTCTCCACGAATGAGGCGAGGTGCTGCGATCTCCCCTGAAGATGTAAGAACCAGTAAACGAACGCGCCGATGAACAGAATGCAACTTAAAATAGTTATGCTGGAGCTTGACACTACTTTAAACATGCCGCAGTGGATTTACAGTCAAAACCTTAAAGAACTTGTAAATATGATTTTGTGGTACCGATTATTTCTTAAACGAGGAAAGCCCGCCATGGAAGATGCTTCGCTATATTGTGCCATGCTTTAAAACTTGGTCTTCGTGGTCATTTAATTTTACGGCTTTCCTTGTAAACGATCTACTGACTGAAAAACTGTACCTCTGAAGACTATGAGGAGATTCCATTTCTTTACAGATTGTAACAATTTTTCACTTTGCTACTGTATCTATTTTTTCACACCCTCCTTCTAGAAGTTTATCATTATACGTGCTTTTGAAATTTACTTTGAGAACTTAGCGTAAAATTGATATTGTGCTCTGATTCTCTTTCATGCCGGATTATCTCCCGAAACTAAACCAAAAGTGGAGCCGACGTTTTCCAAGTTTACTCCATCTTCTTCAGTCTTGACTATACAGGTCCTATCTGAGGTTGAAGAGGATACGTGATGTTTTTTTTTTTTTTTATCTCTTGGTTTTAGCTAAAAATTGCCTAAAATTGCATGACATTGCGCTTTTATATTGGAGACCTTAAGATCGGAGTGTTTTGGCATTTCCGGCTAACCGCGAACGTCAAGAAGTCACGTGACCAGTGCCCTGCCGTCAGAATTTGGGGTTTGAGGTTCACATTTGTACAGCATGAGCACGCTCTAGGGTTAAGTGATTGACTGCAAGGATTTTTGCACCCCAAAACATTCCAATCCCGCGTTTGAGAGGAAATACTACTTTCTGGAACTCTTTCGCTTATTAATCATCCAATTCGTTTTCATAGGAACGTATTTTTGAAGACAATTTCTGAGCTAAAATAGTTTGCCGTTTGCAGTAAGATGGCCAAACCTCGATCTTAAGGTCTCTATTCTTAATTTCAATTTGTCTGAAATTCAGTTCAATAGTCTTACTTAACCTTACTACATCCTACACGCCACTAATGTATCTTCGTGTTAAAAGGTATTACGGTATTAAAAGGTACTTTTTACCTCAAAGTACAGTATGAGATTAGTGGCAAATGAATGTTGAGAAATTGTCCGTTTACTAGTTCGGTGTTACGTTGAATGACAATTGCCGTTTTCATACTGGAGACGGATTATCCGTCTAGATGTGAAAACGAGACGATAAACGTATTCACACTAGAGACGGATTATCCGTCTGAGACGAATTATCCGTTGGATAATTCGCGCCAGACAGACAATCATCGTAATTTGAAAACGGAACGGTCTTAATTTTGCATGGACAATCCGCCTGACTTTATCCGTATGTTTTTCCGTCAATTTTGACGGATTTTGAAGATGGATTATCCGTCTCAGACGAATAATCCATCTCAAGTATAAAAAAGGCCGTTGTTCAATTTGGACGGATAATTCGTCTGACTTTATCCGCCTTTTTAGACGGATTTTAGACGGATTATTCGTCTCAAATTCACACTAGACGGATAAAGTCATCCCATTTTTTCTGCCCACTCTCGTCCCCAGTGTCTTCTCGCTTTTCAAAAGACACTGGGACGAGGTTGTTTTTATCCTGAAAAGCCTGGCACTAGAAAGGGTGCGTTGCATCATAGGATTCGTGGAACAAAAAGTTTAAAGCACTCACCCTCTGGGAGGTACTCTGGGAATTCTTGGTGGGGGTGTGCCGCCCCGTTCTCCAAATCCTAACCCTATATCAGACCTAAAAAGGTCATTTTTCAGATCTGACCTCTAAAATGCATACCCGTTTTCAGACCTGGCCTCTAAGAAATTATGTCGCCATTACTTCGATCAAAACAGCAACAAAAACGATTTCTTAAAATCCATTTCCAATTCTTTCTTACTCATTTGGAATTGAAACCATAAATACGTTCAGTACCGTAAAATTCCGAAAATAAGCCCTTCCATATATAAGCCCCCCTCCACGTAACGCAAAAACCCCTCCGTTAAATCGCCTCTCCAAATATAAGGCACCAGGGGCTTGTACTTGGAAAATTGCCCTCAAATACAGAGTAAAACACAGCAAAAAAAAGGTAAATTTACTTCCAACTATAAGGCTAACCCAATCGATTTCGCGAAACGCAAATTTCCCTCCGTAGATAAGCCCCTCCAAAAATAAGCCCCTCAAAAAGGGTCAGCGTTTTAGAACTGAAGCATGTGTTCCTTCTTCATCTTTATCATTCTTCTGACATTTATTTGGTTTTAGTTGTTTGAATCTACTATTTAATGGTAAAGCTTCCTTATTTATTGCAGCAGTTCTTAGTGACTAGGTCTAATCATAGCAAACAACCTCTAATTTCTCAGAGTATCACTGCTTATCATGGAAAGGTCATGAGATAATTTAGAGAGTATATTCGATGATCCCTAAACAAAACCGTCATCGTTTTGTTAAGAGCCACATGCAATATCGACAACCGGGTGGAAATATACATTATCAGGGAAAGAAATGTAAAAAATATCACCTTTCAAAGTAGATTTGTTTTTAACGTTTTTCTCCAGCTGCTAATTAGTAACTGGTTAAAGCTAATTTCTTGGGGATTTAGCTACTGTAGGGGTAGAACATATATAGAGGTGCCCGTTTGATTTGTCCCTCCCTCTCCGCTACTATCTACCAAACACTGAACTTGGACATCACCAACTGTTTTTTTTTTTTTTTTTATCGCACAGAAAATAAGTGCTCTAGACAAAATGCTCCAAGTGACGGACGCATTTGATGATGGTATGGCATATAAGATTTGTTAACGGTATCAAGAGGCAACAATTCAGCCTCACTACCATCTGACAATGATTGCTTTCCCTCCCCCTCCCCCGGATCACTAAATGGGTACATGATTTTTATCACTAGCTTAAAATGAGAAGTCGATGCAATCGATTTGTTGTCCTTTACCCATTCTCGTCCCCAGAGCATCCTCGGAGATCCAGGGGCAGATAGTGGGGGCGAGGAAAAGTCTAAACGGGGGGAAAAATAAGGTACGAAGAAAAGTAAAGAACGGCGAGAAGAGCCCCTGGGACAATGTCTTACCAGACCAGTTCCAAACGGTCGCCGCCGTTCTGGCTTCTGATTGGTGCCAGAAAATTTGTGTTTTTCCGAAAAAGGCGTCTGCTCTCGCAGGCTTATGGCGAACGGGCCCTTTTCGAATTATCAAAGTCCTTTTCTGAGGGGAATTAAAACGAAATAAATGGACTATTCATCTCCGAATCTCAATTTCCATTTCCAAGCAACCTCGTTCCCGTGGTTCTCTCCTATTCGTCCTCCGAAGCAAGATCAGCTAGAGAGACGGGGAACGAGTAGTGGAGAACCCTGGAAACGAAGTTGGGAGCCAACTCGTAAATTCAAAACAGGTCTATTGAAAGTATCCTTTGCTATTAGACTGCGTGACTGTTCATATCGGTCTTGTGACACTCAGTTGTCGTGCATTTCTTCAACGAGTTCTTTTCTCCTTTTAATTATTTCAACCATCAGATCCTTTTGGTAGTACCGTAAAATTTCGAAAACAAGCCTCGGGGCTTATATTTTTCAAAGGCCCTTTTTGAGGGGCTTATTTTTGGAGGAGCTTATATTCGGAGGGGCTTAAATACGAAGCGGAGTTCCCGTTTCAAAATCGGCTAGGCTTATACTTGGAGGGAAATTTGCGTCTCAAAATCGGTTGGGCTAACTTATGGTAGGAAGGAAAATTTATGTCAGTAATTTGCAGAAAGGTTCTACTGAAACTCGCCTTGAGGACATAGACCTTTGTAAAACGCAGCCATGGAAGCACTTTGTCTACATGGACCAAGGAAATCCAAGCCAAGAGTGAAGAGTGAACTACGCAAACAGCAATTTCTGACTACAATCATTTGGCACACAACAATAACAACAACAACAACACTTTATTTCACCCCATAATATACAAGAAATAAAAATGTATAACAATAGTACAGAGTTCTTAGGCAAATACAAACATTTATGTGTTACTGTACAGTTATTGCCTTGTTTTATTTTGAATTTGAGGGCAATTTCCAAGTACAAGCCCCCGGGGGCTTATATTTGAAGGGTCGACTTAACGGAGGGATTTTTCCGTTACGAGTTTAGGGGACCAGTTTATCGTTTATCTCGCGATATTCGTTACTTAGTTATTCATTTACGACGTTTTATATTTGGAGGGGCTTATACATGGAGGGGTTTATTTTCGGAATTTTACGGTATTTAATTTGTGCAACCAGTTGAGAATATTACAAACATTTACAGAGAAGGATACAAACAATCTGAACAATTCGTCAAGAATAAAATAATAATAATAATAATATTTAATACTTATATTGCGCTTTTTCTATAAAAATACTCAAAAGCGCATTACAATATTATTAATAACTAAATTAAAAACCAGTAAAATTACAATATTTAAAAAAATAAATAAATAAATAAATAAATAATCTAACTAAAAGCCTTTTTAAATAAATATGTTTTAACAGAGCGTTTAAAAGAGTCGATTGATGTTTCCTGTCTTATTGGCAGAGGAAGACTGTTCCATAAAAAAAAACGGTGAAAGTAGTGAAAATTTGGCCTAGATCGTGCACAGAAAAGGCCTCTTTTAGGATGAGAAAAAAAAATCCGTCTACTTGGAGGATAGGGCACAACTAGCATATCCAGGAGCCCATCAAATTTGATAGGCTCCTGGCATATCCAATCACCGTGCAGATAAGAATTCGAAAGTATTATCAGCTACTTATTACCCTGCGAGCAGCGGTCAGGGGCACCCAACGACTATTTCCTCCTAAATACATTGAAAACACTTTTTAGGCTATTCAGGGTAATTTCAGATCTCTAGAAATGCATTCTAAGCAGCGTATAAGATTTATATCTGTTCGGTCATCCTAGGGGAACTTGAGTCTTTTCAAAATTACAAGGGCTTCAGAATTTCCCCGATAATTTTAGATCTAATTTAATTAACCTTTTAATTTACGAAAGTGAGCATTT